TTTTTGTCAACTTTAGTCCTTAAAACGGACAAAGTTATTATTGTAGGGGATTTTAATATTCATGTGGACGTTGAGAATGACAGCTTCAGTACTGCGTTTATCTCTCTGTTAGATTCCATTGGCTTCTCTCAGAGTGTTCATGAACCGACTCACTGTTTTAACCACACCCTCGACCTTGTTCTGGTGTATGGTATTGAAATTGAACATTTAGTGGTGTTTCCACAGAATCCCTCTTTATCCGACCACTGTTTGATAACTTTTGAGTTTGTATTGCTGAACTACACGCCATTGGGCAAAAATTTCTATACAAGATGTCTGTCTGATAGTGCTGTAGCTAAATTTAAGGATGCGATTCCATCAGCTCTAAATACATTATCTAGTCACAAAGTAACGGAGGACTCCTATGCTAATTTCAGTCCCTCCCAAATCGATCATCTTGTTGATAGTGCTGCTGGCTCGCTGCGAATGACACTCGACTCTGTAGCCCCTCTAAAAAAGAAAATACTAAAACAAAGACGGTTAGCTCCATGGTATAATACTGAAACTCGCAAATTAAAGCAAATATCACGGAAACTTGAGAGGAATTGGCGTTCCACCAAAGTGGAAAATTCTCGTTTAATTTGGCAAGATAGTCTTAAAACTTATAGGAAGGCCCTCCGTAATGCCAGAGCAGCGTACTACTCGTCATTAATAGAGGAAAATAGGAACAACCCCAGGTTTCTTTTCAGCACTGTAGCCAGGCTGACAGAGAGTCACAGCTCTATTGAGCCAAGTATTCCCATAGCTCTCAGTAGTTACGACTTCATGAGCTTCTTTAATGATAAAATTCTAGCTATTAGAGACAAAATTCACCAAGACCTGCCCTCAATTGGCACCGACTTATCTCTTAACTCAGGAACCTTAGAAACAGCTGTAGAACCAGATACATGTTTAGACTGTTTTGCTTCCCTCAATCTTTACCAACTAACTTCAATAATTTCTTCATCTAAACCATCAACCTGCCTCTTAGACCCCATCCCGACTAGGCTGCTTAAAGATGTTTTACCCTTAGTCAGCACCTCTATACTAGATATGATCAATCTATCTTTATCAACAGGCTATGTACCACAGTACTTTAAAGTAGCTGTAATTAAACCTCTTCTGAAAAAGCCCAAACTTGATCCGGATGTTTTAGCCAACTATAGACCTATATCTAACCTTCCATTTCTCTCTAAGGTTCTGGAGAAAGCAGTTGCTAAACAGCTGTGTGACTTTCTACAGAGCAATAGTTTATTTGAGGATTTTCAGTCAGGATTTAGAGCTCATCATAGCACAGAGACAGCACTGGTGAAAATTACTAATGACCTCCTTATTGCATCAGACAAAGGACTTGTCTCTGTACTGGTTTTATTAGATCTTAGTGCTGCATTTGATACCATTGACCATCAGATCCTATTGCAGAGACTGGAATATTTCATTGGCATTAAAGGAACCGCTCTAAGCTGGTTTAAGTCCTATTTATCAGATCGATTTCAGTTTGTACATGTTAACGATGAGTCCTCCATGCACGCCAAAGTTACTCATGGAGTTCCTCAAGGATCTGTCCTTGGACCAATCCTCTTCACTTTATATATGCTTCCTTTAGGCAATATTATCAGGAAACATTCCATAAGCTTTCATTGTTATGCAGATGATACTCAGTTATATCTATCGATCAAGCCAGATGAAACTCATCAGTTAGCTAAACTTCAAATGTGCCTTCAGGATGTTAAAACCTGGATGAGCTGTAATTTTCTAATGTTAAACTCAGATAAAACTGAAGTTATTGCTCTGGGGCCTAAGCACCTCCGTGACGCATTATCTAAAGATATAGTTTCCCTGGATGGCATCGCCTTGGCCTCCAGCACCACTGTGAGGAATCTTGGAGTTATCTTTGATCAGGACATGTCGTTTAAGTCTCACATTAAGCAAATTTCAAGGACCGCCTTTTTTCACCTACGTAATATTGCGAAAATCAGGAACATCCTGTCTAAAAATGATGCAGAAAAACTAGCATTTGTTACTTCTAGGCTGGATTACTGCAATTCCTTATTATCAGGCTGCTCGAAAAAGTCCATTAAGACTCTTCAGCTGATCCAGAATGCTGCAGCACGTGTTCTGACAGGAACCAGGAAAAGGGATCACATTTCTCCTGTTTTAGCTTCTTTGCATTGGCTTCCAGTAAAATCCAGAATAGAATTTAAAATCATTCTTCTTACCTACAAAGCTCTTAATGGTCAGGCACCATCTTATCTGAAAGAGCTCATAGTACCTTACTACCCCACCAGAGCACTGCGCTCCCAGAATGCAGGGTTACTTGTGGTTCCTAGAGTCTCCAAAAGTAGACTAGGAGCCAGAGCGTTCAGCTATCAAGCTCCTCTCCTTTGGAACCAGGTTCCAGTTTGGGTTCAGGAGGCAGACACCATCTCCACATTTAAGAGTAGGCTTAAGACTTTCCTCTTTGATAAAGCTTATAGTTAGGGCTGGCTCAGGTGAGTCCTGAACCATCCCTTAGTTATGCTGCTATAGGCCTAGACTGCCGGGGGATTTCCCATGATGCACTGAGCTCCTCTCTCCTCTACTTTCTCTCCCCCTGTATGCAACCTCATCCCATTATTGCATGTTACTAACACAACTTCTCCCCTTTCTGGTAGTCTTGTGCTTTCGTCTCTCTCCTCTCTCCTCCTATCACTTCCTGCAGGTTTTCTGGCTCTGGAGCTGTGGAGTCTGGATCTGTGGTTGCGGGTCACCTGCTGCCCCCGTGTTCCTGCTCGACACCCTCTACTGCAACGACTATTGTTACTAGTCCTATTGTTATTATTGTTATTATAATCATTTTCAAAATCTATGATAAATATTATACTATAACAAAATCTGTGATAAATATAATACTACAACAAAATCTATGATAAATATAATACTATAACAAAATCTATGATAAATATAATACTATAACAAAATCTATGATAAATATAATACTATAACAAAATCTATGATAAATATAATACTATAACAAAATCTATGATAAATATAATAATACTATAACAAAATCTGTAATAAATATAATACTATAACAAAATCTATGATAAATATAATAATACTATAACAAAATCTGTAATAAATATAATACTATAACAAAATCTATGATAAATATAATACTATAACAAAATCTGTGATAAATATAATACTACAACAAAATCTGTGATAAATATAATACTACAACAAAATCTATGATAAATATAATACTACAACAAAATCTGTGATAAATATAATACTACAACAAAATCTATGATAAATATAATACTACAACAAAATCTATGATAAATATAATACTAGAACAAAATCTGTGATAAATATAATACTAGAACAAAATCTATAATAAATATAATACTAGAACAAAATCTATGATAAATATAATACTAGAACAAAATCTGTGATAAATATAATACTATAACAAAATCTATGATAAATATAATACTATCACAAAATCTGTGATAAATATAATACTATAACAAAATCTGTGATAAATATAATACTACAACAAAATCTATGATAAATATAATACTATAACAAAATCTGTGATAAATATAATACTACAACAAAATCTGTGATAAATATAATACTAGAACAAAATCTATAATAAATATAATACTAGAACAAAATCTATAATAAATATAATACTACAACAAAATCTATGATAAATATAATACTACAACAAAATCTGTGATAAATATAATACTATAACAAAATCTATGATAAATATAATACTATAACAAAATCTGTGATAAATATAATACTATAACAAAATCTATGATAAATATAATATTATAACAAAATCTGTGATAAATATAATACTATAACAAAATCTATGATAAATATAATATTATAACAAAATCTATGATAAATATAATACTATAACAAAATCTGTGATAAATATAATATTATAACAAAATCTATGATAAATATAATACTATAACAAAATCTGTGATAAATATAATATTATAACAAAATCTATGATAAATATAATACTATAACAAAATCTGTGATAAATATAATACTATAACAAAATCTGTGATAAATATAATATTATAACAAAATCTATGATAAATATAATACTATAACAAAATCTGTGATAAATATAATATTATAACAAAATCTATGATAAATATAATACTATAACAAAATCTGTGATAAATATAATATTATAACAAAATCTATGATAAATATAATACTATAACAAAATCTATGATAAATATAATATTATAACAAAATCTATGATAAATATAATACTATAACAAAATCTGTGATAAATATAATACTACAACAAAATCTGTGATAAATATAATACTATAACAAAATCTATGATAAATATAATACTATAACAAAATCTGTGATAAATATAATATTATAACAAAATCTATGATAAATATAATACTATAACAAAATCTGTGATAAATATAATACTATAACAAAATCTGTGATAAATATAATACTATAACAAAATCTATGATAAATATAATAATACTATAACAAAATCTATGATAAATATAATACTATAACAAAATCTATGATAAATATAATACTATAACAAAATCTATGATAAATATAATATTATAACAAAATCTATGATAAATATAATACTATAACAAAATCTGTGATAAATATAATACTACAACAAAATCTGTGATAAATATAATACTATAACAAAATCTATGATAAATATAATACTATAACAAAATCTGTGATAAATATAATATTATAACAAAATCTATGATAAATATAATACTATAACAAAATCTGTGATAAATATAATACTACAACAAAATCTGTGATAAATATAATACTATAACAAAATCTATGATAAATATAATACTACAACAAAATCTGTGATAAATATAATACTATAACAAAATCTGTGATAAATATAATACTATAACAAAATCTATGATAAATATAATACTTGGCTGCTACTAAGGAAAGATAAACACCACTCTGCAAGCAAACACAAACACATTTTAAGATGCATGAAAAGCCCAAACTAAAACAACTATAATAAAAACCAAATGAAATGTTCTAACACTCGTCATGTTGCCTCTGACGAGGTCAACAAAGGCAGCAACTTGCTGGTCCTTGGCCAGGAACAAGCCCTCATATATGGGTGGCTCCTCAGTCCCGTCCTGATAAGATAACGTGCGTCAGTAGTACAGCATTTACTATTTGTTCAAATGTATGTTATGGCCACTCAAAGACAACCTGGAGGGCTACTGTTTGTGTTAGACAATAAGTGAATACACTGTACAGAGATACAAATATATGATGTATTAGCTATTAGCCTGAAAATGACATGGTGATAAAAAGCTTTGCGTTGCACACGGTGGGAAACATTAAGGATGGCTTTCACAACAACATAGCGTTGATGGTGACCACAGAAATATGCTTCCCTGGAGTGAGCGGGAGGTCACGAGGTCATTCACAAATTGACCTTGGCGCAGGAACAGGCAGCTGACATACTGCAAAACAGAAAGAAGTTATGAAGTTATGAAGATGTATCTACAGCTTCTCCTCAGTCCCTCAGATGCATTTCCCAAAACCTCGCTTTCAAAACTGTGCTTTAAAAGCCAACAATTAATCCAAACTGGCCACAGCACTATTCCAACTGTCGCTATGTTGAAGCACAGTTATCAGCACAAATATTAAGACGCAGTCGACTTAGCTGGTCAAAGATACGCTGGTCAGAACTGTCAAAACCAACCAGACTTTTGTTATTCAGCTATTAAATTTCACAGCTTAGAGAATAAGCTTAGAATGAGATTCGCATTTTAGAACAAATGTCATTTAGAAACACTGTTAAATATAAACACGTGCGCTCTCTACACCAACATTTGAGGAACTATAAGTACGAGAAGATTTGATATAATGCTAATTTTAACTGGCCATTTTCATTCACCGCCACAGCAGTTGTAGGGAGAAGCCATGGAACACAGCCTCTCTGCCATGGAAGACATTTCTCTGGATGAATCCTCTCTCGGCTCAGAGCTTTGCACCAAAAAGCACCGGCCTCGCAGTTTTCATTCTCACATCTGTGAGAAGCTCCTCCGGAACCTGGACTGCTGGTGTCCCTTAACTCTTGGAGACAAAAACATACATTCACTTGTCCTTAAAAGGTCTGAACTCATGATTATGATCACACACAAGTATATATATCAGTGACACTGTGAGTCTGTAGTGGAGCTGACCAAACATCGTGCTTGATTATGATTAATTAGATGAGTTAATAAATGGTGGAAATTGCAAAAACTGTAGTGTAGTGTTACTACTGTAGTATCCTCACCGAGACTTGCCAACTCTTGATCTTCTGTCTGGGGCCTCCTCGTGCACCGGATCCCTTCTTCTGGACTGAAGCAGCTGCAGAGAAAGTCATTTCTGCTTAAGCCTTTGATCAATATAACATGAAACCAGTTCATTTCAAAGTGAAAATGTTCCAGAAGGACTGGAGGCAGGGAAACTAAGCAGGATTATCAGTCACATGTATTAGTTAGAACATTTTTCACAACACCATTTAGTCAAAGTGCTATCTGACTCATTTTATAATACGTCTAAGCACCAAAACACTGTTTAATAAATGATCTTTCTTCTTAGATCCAGTTTGTTTCTCACGTCTGCCTGGGACCAGCGGATCAGTGAGCGATCTGCTTTTCCTCGTTTCTCTTTGAGGAAACGATCTTCTATCTGTAAGTTAGTGGTGCATTTAATTCTGCATTAATTATATCAGGTGTGAACGCTCAGCGACACTGAGTCGCACTGAGCAGTCAAATCCTCTGCAAAGACTCCAGGTCCACTTTTTATTCCAGTCCATCCCTGATGGCGGCGATTCTCCTTCGTTACACTTCTGACATTTACTTTGCACTTTGAATAAAACTTTAACCTCATTAACAGCACGCTGTCGGACAAACACATGTTGTTGGCCGGCGAGCTAACTGCTTTGGCGGGCAGCCGTGTGAAAGATAACGCAGCACTAACAAATTTAACCTCGTCTCCGAACGCAGCACAGATCAGGCTACAGCTACAGAAATAACTTTTTAACAAACAGAGATACTTACTGTAGTCAGGTGGCGGGAGAAACAGGCGGGAGGAAGCGCGCGTAACGTGACGTGTAGTTGCCGTGGTAACGACTGAAAGTCTTCTGATTCATTATAATAATTATTAATATTATTCGCTGCTACGACAGAAAATACGTTTGAAAATGAGAAAAGGGAACAATCTATTTAACCTTCTTTAAAACTACTCCATCTATAAATTGATAGTTACGTCACAGACAAGTTAGTTATATAGAACTAATCCACTGTAATAAATGAGAAAAGGAGCACGTTTCGTAAACTAGAAAACCACATTTTCCGCCGCCCACCGTGTGACGTTGTTGAACCAGGAATCCGTGCGTCCACCACGACAAATGAGCCTCGCTGACTTTGTTTTCCTGCTGCCGACACGTAGTTTTAACACATTACGTGCCACCGCCGCGTAAATCCGGGTTAAGGGGTCGTTTCATTTCACGTGTTTCTGTGAGATCAGCTGGGATCGGCTCCAGATAAGCGGTTGACGATGGATGGATGGATGTTTCCCAGGAGGGTAGAGAAAATACAAAGTCTACTTTTCCCTGTTCTGGAGAATATTTTCTTTCTTTTTTAAATAAAACACTGAAAATGCCACTACATTTATGTCTCCAATAATGACATCCAGATGTGGTATAACACTGGACCTCTGTCAGCACGGAGGAGCAGCCTGTCTGACCGCTTTGGAGTAGCCACAGCAGAGAAGTGTCCTTCTGAGCGCGTGCGGGGCGCTCTGACCCGGGACGGCGAAGGCCGTAACCCCAGACTCCCACCGCTCCAGAAGAAGAGCTGGCAGCTGCAGCGGGAGGGGCCGCTTCCTGCGGAGGTTTCTGTAAAGCCCAGTTTAAGTACAGGGTTGAAGCGCTTTGTCCTTCAGGTCCTGAGCCTCCCTCTGTCTCTTTGACAACACAGAGTCTGAAGAGAGGTCGTCCTCCTCCATGACCAGCAGAAAGCCTCTCGTGGTCACTCCCGGCCTCAGGGTCAGGCTGGACTATAAATGAGACCGGAGGAAACAACAGGTTCCAGCTCTCCCGTCTTTGATCCGGCACCACAGGATGCTAAAATACAGAACGTGATGTTTAATAGAAGACAAACAAAGTCTGACTGTGTTCAGTCCAACATCCTCACTATTTACCCAGCAGCCACCTGAAGTCTTAATCTTCTGTCCTCGCTCTCCAGAAGAACGTGTTGAGGTTTATTTAAAGACATGTTAACAGGGTGTATTACCTGGAGATGCAGTACTGTGACTAAAGAAGAACAATGAGAATTAGTCACTGATTGGACTGATCGACAGTATGAAACTCAGCCCCCTGAGTTTGCTGCAGCAGATGATCTAAACGCCGTCGACCGTGATCCTTCTCTGGACGTGTGAGGAGAACCTGATGAAATGATTGACGGTGACCTGCCTCCTTTCAGACTGAGTGAATCAGGCTGCAGTCTGTGGCTCACAGCGGAGAAATCCAATCATTTAAATCACGGCTCATTCTGAAATATGCTGTGCAGCTACAGATTCGTCACACATTCACAAACATGTTCCTGACGAGTTTCATTAATCTACTGCGGCGATCGTGATTCAAACTCACCTGAGCAAAAAGTAACATCTACCCCCGGCTTTCCTCGTTATTTGAGAGCTAACCGACCAATCACAGGTGACTGTCGTCCAGTCACGTGTTGATGAAGCACGTCAACATCCAGGTAACACTTTGTTTGGGCCGATCTAAAACAACTGGTTACCTTCAGCCATCTTAAAAACAGCAGAACGTGTTTATCAAGGTGTTTTTCTCTTGTAATACTGACCCCTGCATTACAGCCCCCTCACACTATCACAGGGACGATCTGACTCCGACAACACTGTGAAAACATGAGTTTACTGTCAACACGGAGCCACAGGGAGAGAAGAAGTGGAAATATTCTGCCCACAACACACCAGACCTTTGCACTGACAAGGAAAAAAATGCAGGGTCACCCTGAAAATCTCTTTATCCTGACTTAAGTTTTGCGGCATCAAAATTAAAAATTAGAATGGCTAAGAATTGATTTTGCAAATCAAATATCTTTTAAACTAGACTCATCATCATTCATTGTTTTCTCAGATACCTTATCAACTTGTGATTTCCGTCGATGTGCCACATACTGTTTGGCGCTGGTACAGAGTACCTCCTGCGCCTTCGTGGGTTTAGCTGAAGGCTGCGCATCATAACTCCCTGAGAATCCACACGCCGCATGGATTCCTGCACACGTTGTCCTATAATATGCAAAAAAGCACAGAGAATTAGGTGTACTCAAAAAACAAGTAGACCCTTTCCCAATCTCACAGTAAATTAGCAAGTAGCCCAAATCCCGAACTGTTAGTAAACTACCCCCAGAGCCAGTGAATGGTAATTTACTACACTTACTCTGTATGCGGATGCCTTGTGCACTGAGGTGCCCCACCATCATTTTGTAACCACAGTTGGGATGGTGCTGCAGAATTTGGATCACAGTTTCATCCAGGTCGCTGTCGTTCGGTGGAGTTAATAGATTTTGGACTCTGATCATCAAAAACATACAGTGTACATGACACAAATATGACCACAGTAGGCTACATCCAAAACACAGTGATCACTAATTCAGTTCAGATCAGTATCATTTGCTTAGCTGTCAGTTATCTGCAAAAGCACTTAAGTCTTTTAAGCCTAATTACAAACGTGGTCTAAGAGAGACTTAGCTCAAGTAAAGTTAGTTTGATTTGTATAGCCCAATATCTGTGCCTCAATGACCTTTACAGTTTCTACAGTAATAGAACATCTTCTACCCTTACATCCCTGATGAACAAAGTTGTTAGGAAGAGCAACATATGAGGGATATCATCCAGGACGGACATCAATAGGCTAGATATTATGAACGGAATAGGTGAGGTCATAGAGTTCAGTATAAAGTAGTGATTAGAAAGAGGGAGGGTTTTGCAGCGAAAGAGGCATTTTTTCCACTTGTTTTCTATAGACAGTAAGCGTTTTGTGGGATGCGCCCTGCGCGCCCCTCGCATTTTGGCACGAGCGCATAACACCTGCTACCATCCAGACTGCTGGGCCGACTGGTGGTAAGGTAAGGTGATTTCAGAGATGCTCACAAGTCTTTGAGCTAGAGTCCAAGTCAAGTCTCAAGTCTCTGGTGGTTATTACGAATGTTGTATCACCTGCTGCGTCCAATCCAGGTTGCTAATAAAACTGCATGGCTTTAAGGAATACTATAACTGTAACCTGTTTTTCATTTACAGAGCACAACCATGCAGCCTACAATTAATGACAACTTATAAACTACTGTAAGTCAACACATCCTCCTGACTCTCAAATCAATAAACTGTAACCTGTTTTTAACTTGCAGAGCACAACCATAATGTGCAATGCAGTTAGTGACAGCTTATAAACTACTGTAAGTCAACAAACCCTGCAGACTCTCAAACCAGTGTATGTTATAACTAAATGAAACTGTAAGGTTACATGATCTTCCTCTGTCTCAGAGAGAATGTGAAGCTAGCAGAGGATTTCTTGAAGACTCTCTAGCACTGCTACCTCAACTTCCACATCCATATCAGCACTGAACTGAACTAAATCCTCGATTACTCTGCACAAACGAAACTGGAGATAGTCGTTGGGCGCATTGTTCTCAGAATCCTGCACTAATGATCTTAAATCATTAGCAGTTGCTTGAACAAAGGTCTCCATACAGGCTACATAAAACTAAAAACTTCAATTTACTCAAGCAGCAGTACCAAGAAGGCTTCTTTGTACCAGTGAAATCAAGGCAGTAGTAGTAGATTCGATCACATCGCTCCAACCAATCCTGCTTCAGACTGATGTTGGCACCCCCCACTCAGTTAGCATACAGGCGCAGGGAAAAATAAATGTTATAATACAGAAATACAGAAATAAATAAATATATAAATAAATATATAAATATGTCAATAAATAAATACATAAATTTAGGAAGAAATGTATAAATACATAAATAAATACATGTGAAAATACAGAAATAGCCATTTATATTACTAAAATGTTTACTGTATTTCTGCATTTATTTATTTATTTCTACTTTTATTTATTTATTTTTCTGTCATTTTTAGTCCTTCATAGTTATTAGCCAAATACTAGGTAAAATTACTGGACTAGCTAGCTAAACGTCAGGTTAACTAACTAGCAAGACAACGCAACGCAACTGAACAAAGGTAACGTTAAGTTAGCTAGTAATTTAATTTAACGCAGCACACCTGAACAGATCTCTGGCTCACTGCCACAAACAACTGTCTCCACCTGCTGGCATGTAAAGCCGTCTGCTCCCAGCGCTGTTCCACAGACTTCTATTCCTGTCATCATCACGCATAGACCAGTAAACCGAAATGTGCACATCCCACACAGAAATCATAGTAATCTCTTAAGGATTAGGACAACTGCACCAACTCCAGCACCCAGAACAAACTCATTTAAAATGGCTCTCTTCAATGTGAGATCACTTTCAAGTAAGACTTTTATCTTAAATGATTTTATCTTGTCTGCAAATCTAGATTTTATGTTTTTAACTGAATCCTGGTTGCAGATGAATGACTATAGCCAGCTAGCTGAACTGTGTCCGCCTCAATATGATTGCTTTAGTCAACCGAGGGTCAGTGGTCGTGGTGGTGGGCTAGTGAGCGTGTATAGGAAAATTTTTAAATGTCATCAAGTACGCTGTGATGACTTTAACTCCTTTGAAGTTCTCACTCTTAAAGTTGGAGGGCTGCAACCTGTCATATTTGTTATAATTTATCGCCCCCCAAAACCGCCTGGAGGATTTTTATCAGAACTTCCTGAATTTTTATCTACTCTGGTTTTAAATTATGACAGAATTGTTCTTTGTGGCGATTTTAATATTCATGTTGATGACCACAACAATGTTAATGCAACTGACTTTTTAAATATGGCCACTTCTTTTAACTTCAAACAACATGTCAAAGGGCAAACACATAACCGTGGTCATACACTGGACTTGGTTTTTACCCTGGGTGTCAGCATTTCCTCTGTGGAATTAGTGGACATGACCATATCTGACCACAGATGTATTGTTTTTAGCTGCGATTCGCCTGTTACTCATGCCGCCTCACCAAGCTCCGTGTGTTCTCGCTTCTTTAATGAACAAAGTGTTTCAAAGTTTTGCGCATTCTTTCAGAGCCAAAGCCAACACCTGTCTGATTCCAACACCAACAATCTGGTCGATCACTTCAATCATATCTGCTTGTCGTCACTAAATATTACTGCTCCTCTAAAGGTTAGGCCTACGTCTAAAGCTAGTAAGCAACCCTGGATAAATGACAGCATTCGCAGCCTAAAAAGGGAATGCAGGAAAAAATCCAGTCTCCAAGTCCATTACCTCAGTCTGAAGGATTTATTAATTAACTACAATAACATGGTTAAGGATGCGTGAACACACTATTTTTCTGAACTCATTACTACACATAAACACAATCCCAGGTTTCTGTTTAAGACTGTGGATCAGCTGGTAAACCCAACCCCTCCTTGTGCCTCAGCTGGAAGTAATGATGACTGTGAATTGTTTTTATCTTATTTTACCAATAAGGTGGTGTCAATCAGAGCCTCTATTACCCCCGTGGCCTCTTACTCAGAGGTTCCTCACCAGCAACAACAGAGTTTTAACCAGTTTTATCCCATCGACTTGTCTGAGCTTTTAAAAACAGTATCACAAATGAGAGTGTCCTCCGGCCCACTTGATGTAATACCTACAAAATTTTTACTAAAAGTAATAGATTCTGTTGGGCCCCATTTGATCTCTGTTTTCAACAGCTCCCTATCTACTGGTTGTGTCCCTGATTATTTTAAAACGGCTTGCGTGAACCCACTTTTAAAGAAACCTGGTTTAGATCCCTCCCTCCCACATAATTTTAGACCAATTTCAAAACTGCCTTTTATTGCAAAGATTCTAGAAAGAATTGTGTCCAAACAGCTGCTCACTGTGCTGGAAAATAACAAATTATTTGAAAAGTTTCAGTCTGGTTTTAGGAAGTACCACAGCACTGAGACTGCCCTGCTTAAAGTCACCAATGACCTTTTAATGTCTGCTGATGAAGGCATGTGCTCAGTCCTGGTACTCCTGGACCTTAGCGCTGCTTTTGACACCATTGATCACAACATCATGTTAGACAGACTGAGGCACTGGGTGGGGATCTCTGGTACTGCCCTAGAATGGTTTTCATCCTACCTGTCAAATAGGAAGTTTTGCGTGTCTGTAAACAACTATGCCTCTTCGTTCTGTCCAGTTAAATATGGTGTGCCTCAGGGGTCGGTCTTAGGACCCATTTTGTCTAATGGTTCTCGTTCCATTCTACCAGGAGGAGACTCTCCCTCCTGGTAGAGAACACAGGGACACTGAGGAGAAACCAGACCAGGACCAGGACCAGTACCAGAACACAAATCCAGGATAAAGAGGTTCAGTGAATGTGGTGTTGAAGGTGTGGAGGTGGATCAGTGTGTCAGAGGAGACTCTGTAGAAGGACAGAGAGCCAGCAGGACAGTCCACATACACTGCTACTCTACCAGAGGAGGAGGAGGAGGAGGATGAGGAGGAGGAGGAGGATGAGAGCTTTGTTTCTCTCTTATTGTGCCAGACAGAGAAACGGCCACCATCAGAGCAGTTCAGACTCCAGGACTGATCATTCATTCCAAACCTGCAGTCTTCTCTGTCTCCTCTCCTTCTGATTCCTCTGTAACTCACTGATATATAAACTCTTCCTCTCCACTCGACCTCCCAGTAACAGCGACCAGTCAGACCATCTCTACACAGCAGCTGAGGCCTCCAGTCAAACCTGTCTGGATGATCAGGATATGACTGATCCTCCTCCACACGTGTCGCCTTCCTGTTGCTGTCAGACAGTTGGATCCTTCTGTTTACTGTGTTTGTGTCGATTGTGAGTTGACAGGAATCTGATGGAGAGAATCCAGCTGCAGTTATTGATCTATCATCTGTTCACTGATTGGCACTTTGAATGAGTGATGTCACAGTCTGAAGATGGTTGAATGTTTTCATGAATCAAATGAAAAACACACTTACACTTCCTCAGACCTGGTCTCAACCATCGGACTCCAGCAGGCTCCACCCTGAAAGGAGGAGGGGGGTCAGAGCAGCATCAAACATGGACATTACATTCCTCAATATAATAATATTGAAATATTTTTCTCCTGTAGATCAACTTATTTAATATCATCCCTGCTGAGTCAACACACATGATTAAGTCTCACCTCCTCTTTTGTGGGGAAGTAACCTATTTAAATGTGTTTGTGGCCCCTTTTCATCTGAGTTTACACAGTAAACGCCATGTGGGTAAAATTTTAGAGACGATACTCCGACTTCCCGTGAAGGCAGCACGAAGCTGACGGAGAAAAAAATACACAGTCTCGTCCAGTCAGTGGACTAAACTGGCAGGTTTTAATGTTGCAGACCACAGTTTTTTGCAAGTAGTTTAAAGTTTAAACTCGTATTGTTGTGAATCTTAAGTGTAAAGTCGCCTTAGAAAAGTTGAGAAACACTAGTAATTGTTCTCATTAATTATTAGAGCGATGGTGGTCTAAATTGTCATCATTTAAAGTGTTATTTATAGTGGAAAGATCACAGTGTTAAAACTCTACAGCTCTGAGTGTGTGTGTGACTCTATAGCTCTGTGTGTGTGTGTGTGTGTGTGTGACTCTATAGCTCTGAGTGTGTGTGTGACTCTATAGCTCTGAGTGTGTGTGTGTGTGTGTGTGTGTGTGTGACTCTATAGCTCTGAGTGTGTGTGTGTGTGACTCTATAGCTCTGAGTGTGTGTGTGTGTGACTCTATAGCTCTGAGTGTGTGTGTGACTCTATAGCTCTGAGTGTGTGTGTGACTCTATAGCTCTGAGTGTGTGTGTGTGTGACTCTATAGCTCTGAGTGTGTGTGTGTGACTCTATAGCTCTGAGTGTGTGTGTGTGACTCTATAGCTCTGAGTGTGTGTGTGTGTGTGTGTGTGACTCTATAGCTCTGAGTGTGTGTGTGTGTGTGTGTGTGTGACTCTATAGCTCTGAGTGTGTGTGTGTGTGTGTGTGTGTGACTCTATAGCTCTGAGTGTGTGTGTGTGTGTGTGTGTGTGACTCTATAGCTCTGAGTGTGTGTGTGTGTGTGTGTGTGACTCTATAGCTCTGAGTGTGTGTGTGTCAGCAGTTCATCATGTAGTCATAACAACAGTAGATAACAGCAGACCAAGGCATGCACTTGTCACAGCAGATGTTGAACACCTGCAGCCTCTCCTGCTGTCATAAATCTACAGTAGATAACAGTTGAACAAGGCGTGCATAGTCTCAGTGTCTGCAGCCAATGCTCCCACTCAGGGATCTTAACCACAGTGAGCTTGTTTCTACAGTTCAGCACTTACAGGTAAAGACAAGACACATCTAGGTAAAAAGAAAATGACTAAGAATGATTAATAATTAATACTAATTAAGGATAAGATGATTAAAAATGATGAAATAACACACAGACTCAGAGCTATAGAGTCACACATACATACATGAATAGAAGACGAGAAAGAGAGGATGAATAGAAGACGACAGAGAGAGGATGAATAGAAGACGACAGAGAGGATGAATAGAAGACGACAGAGAGGATGAATAGAAGACGACAGAAAGGATGAATAGAAGACAAGAGAGAGGATGAATAGAAGACGAGAGAGAGAGGATGAATAGAAGACGAGAGAGAGGATGAATAGAAGACAAGAGAGACGATGAATAGAAGATGACAGAGAGACGATGAATAGAAGACGACAGAGAGAGGATGAATAGAAGACGTCAGAGAGACGATGAATAGAAGACGACAGAGAGAGGATGAATAGAAGACGACAGAGAGGATGAATAGAAGACAACAGAGAGAGGATGAATAGAAGACAAGAGAGAGGATGAATAGAAGACGACAGAGAGACGATGAATAGAAGACGAGAGAGAGGATGAATAAAAGACAAGAGAGACGATGAATAGAAGACGTCAGAGAGACGATGAATAGAAGACGACAGAGAGAGGATGAATAGAAGACGACAGAGAGAGGATGAATAGAAGATGACAGAGAGGATGAATAGAAGACGACAGAGAGAGGATGAATAGAAGTCAAGAGAGAGGATGAATAGAAGATGTCAGAGAGAAGATGAATAGAAGACGACAGAGAGAGGATGAATAGAAGACGTCAGAGAGACGATGAATAGAAGACGACAGAGAGGATGAATAGAAGACAAGAGAGAGGATGAATAGAAGACGACAGAGAGACGATGAATAGAAGACGAGAGAGACGATGAATAAAAGACAAGAGAGACGATGAATAGAGGACGTCAGAGAGACGATGAATAGAAGACGACAGAGAGAGGATGAATAGAAGACAAGAGAGAGGATGAATAGAAGACGACAGAGAGAGGATGAATAGAAGACGAGAGAGACGATGAATAGAAGACAAGAGAGACGATGAATAGAAGACGACAGAGAGACGATGAATAGAAGACAAGAGAGAGGATGAATAGAAGACGACAGAGAGACGATGAATAGAAGACGAGAGAGAGGATGAATAGAAGACAAGAGAGAGGATGAATAGAAGACAAGAGAGAGGATGAATAGAAGACGAGAGAGAGGATGAATAGAAGACAAGAGAGAGGATGAATAGAAGACATCAGAGAGACGATGAATAGAAGACGACAGAGAGAGGATGAATAGAAGACGACAGAGAGAGGATGAATAGAAGACAAGAGAGAGGATGAATAGAAGATGTCAGAGAGAAGATGAATAGAAGACATCAGAGAGAGGATGAATAGAAGACGACAGAGAGAGGATGAATAGAAGACGACAGAGAGACGATGAATAGAAGACAAGAGAGAGGATGAATAGAAGACGAGAGAGAGAGAGGATGAATAGAAGACGACAGAGAGAGGATGAATAGAAGACAAGAGAGAGGATGAATAGAGGACGTCAGAGAGACGATGAATAGAAGACGACAGAGAGAGGATGAATAGAAGACAAGAGAGAGGATGAATAGAAGACGACAGAGAGAGGATGAATAGAAGACGAGAGAGAGGATGAATAGAAGACAAGAGAGACGATGAATGGAAGACGACAGAGAGACGATGAATAGAAGACAAGAGAGAGGATGAATAGAAGACGACAGAGAGACGATGAATAGAAGACGAGAGAGAGGATGAATAGAAGACAAGAGAGAGGATGAATAGAAGACATCAGAGAGACGATGAATAGAAGACGACAGAGAGAGGATGAATAGAAGACGACAGAGAGAGGATGAATAGAAGACAAGAGAGAGGATGAATAGAAGACATCAGAGAGAGGATGAATAGAAGACGACAGAGAGAGGATGAATAGAAGACGACAGAGAGAGGATGAATAGAAGACAAGAGAGAGGATGAATAGAAGACGAGAGAGAGAGAGGATGAATAGAAGACGACAGAGAGAGGATAAATAGAAGACAAGAGAGAGGATGAATAGAAGACATCAGAGAGACGATGAATAGAAGACGACAGAGAGAGGATGAATAGAAGATGACAGAGAGAGGATGAATAGAAGACAAGAGAGAGGATGAATAGAAGACGACAGAGAGACGATGAATAGAAGATGACAGAGAGACGATGAATAGAAGACGACAGAGAGAGGATGAATAGAAGACGACAGAGAGGATGAATAGAAGACGACAGAGAGAGGATGAATAGAAGACAAGAGAGAGGATGAATAGAAGACGACAGAGAGACGATGAATAGAAGACGAGAGAGAGGATGAATAAAAGACAAGAGAGACGATGAATAGAAGACGTCAGAGAGACGATGAATAGAAGACGACAGAGAGACGATGAATAGAAGACGACAGAGAGAGGATGAATAGAAGATGACAGAGAGGATGAATAGAAGACGACAGAGAGAGGATGAATAGAAGTCAAGAGAGAGGATGAATAGAAGATGTCAGAGAGAAGATGAATAGAAGACGACAGAGAGAGGATGAATAGAAGACGTCAGAGAGACGATGAATAGAAGACGACAGAGAGGATGAATAGAAGACAAGAGAGAGGATGAATAGAAGACGACAGAGAGACGATGAATAGAAGACGAGAGAGACGATGAATAAAAGACAAGAGAGACGATGAATAGAGGACGTCAGAGAGACGATGAATAGAAGACGACAGAGAGAGGATGAATAGAAGACAAGAGAGAGGATGAATAGAAGACGACAGAGAGAGGATGAATAGAAGACGAGAGAGAGGATGAATAGAAGACAAGAGAGACGATGAATAGAAGACGACAGAGAGACGATGAATAGAAGACAAGAGAGAGGATGAATAGAAGACGACAGAGAGAGGATGAATAGAAGACGAGAGAGAGGATGAATAGAAGACAAGAGAGAGGATGAATAGAAGACATCAGAGAGACGATGAATAGAAGACGACAGAGAGAGGATGAATAGAAGACGACAGAGAGAGGATGAATAGAAGACAAGAGAGAGGATGAATAGAAGACATCAGAGAGAGGATGAATAGAAGACGACAGAGAGAGGATGAATAGAAGACAAGAGAGAGGATGAATAGAAGACGAGAGAGAGAGAGGATGAATAGAAGACGACAGAGAGAGGATGAATAGAAGACAAGAGAGAGGATGAATAGAAGACATCAGAGAGACGATGAATAGAAGACGACAGAGAGAGGATGAATAGAAGACAAGAGAGAGGATGAATAGAAGACATCAGAGAGACGATGAATAGAAGACGAGAGAGAGAGGATGAATAGAAGACGACAGAGAGAGGATGAATAGAAGACAAGAGAAAGGATGAATAGAAGACAAGAGAGAGGATGAATAGAAGACGACAGAGAGACGATGAATAGAAGACAAGAGAGAGGATGAATAGAAGACGACAGAGAGAGGATGAATAGAAGACAAGAGAGAGGATGAATAGAAGACGACAGAGAGAGGATGAATAGAAGACAAGAGAGAGGATGAATAGAAGACGACAGAGAGACGATGAATAGAAGACGACAGAGAGACGATGAATAGAAGACGACAGAGAGACGATGAATAGAAGACAAGAGAGACGATGAATAGAAGACGACAGAGA